CTCCACCATCCTGGCCGTCGCTTGACATGTCGTGTCCCAAACTATATACTGTATCCCCAGATATTATTTTCTAATTTGTTCTTGAAACAAATAACATTTTCTGCTTCCGCCGTCTCCCTAGAGAGCCTATTCCGTAAGTTTATTACTAGCTCACTGAAGTGGTGTTTCTGCAGATTTACCCCTCCTTCAATCGCTGGCTGTGTCCTCTGATTCGACTGTTCAGTACAAGATAAAACAGCTTACATTATCTATTCCCTTCAGAATCTTAAAGACTGTAATCATATCGCCCCTCATCCTTTTCTTCTCCAGTGTGAACAAGCCCAATTTATCTAATTGCGCCTTGTAGTCCAGTCCCTCCATCCCCTCAATCATGTTGGTTGGCCTCCTCTGTATCCTCTCAATCACTGCAATATCTGTTTTATATTGCGATGACCAGAACTACACACAGTATATTCCAAGTGTGGTAGCACCAGTGATTTATTAAGTGACAGGATTCCCCCACTATTTAGGCTCAATATTTCCCTTTTAATACAGCCAAACATCTGGTTTGCCTTGCTCACTGTTACCCAGCACTGTTGGGATGGCTTCAATTTATTATCAATCAGGATTCCCAGGTCCTTTTTATTTTCCGTACAGATTATTTTTCTTAGATGAAAATAGTATTTGTGGATCCATGAGGCATGATAATAGCCCTGGCCTTTAATATGGTGCCTATAACATTGAAACATCTGAAAGCACTTCACAGGGAATTGCTATCAAGTGCTATTTATTTCACAGACATATTCAGCAGCAAATTTGCACTCAGCAAGGTCCCACAATCAACATGAAGCAAATGACCAATTCATCTGTTTGTCATAACACCAGGAGAAACTCTTCTCCTTTCAAATAGTGCCATGGGATCTTTATCGTGTACCTAAACTGGCGGACGGCGTGGGTGGTTTAACAACTGAAGGATGGTTCTGTAGACAATGCAGCGTTCTCTGGGTGTTGTACTGGAGTGTTAGCCAAGGCTGCAAGATGCTAAACGATATTTTCCCATCGTGCTCTGAATTCATCAGTACCTACTTCAAACAGTTGCAAAGAATTAGGATTGTCTTTTGTTATTTTTTGTCTGTTTTTGTTGATCGCTTAGTTTTTTTTAATCAGCGAGTGCTGACAATAACATGAGGAAAATTCACTTTGAATAGTTACTGATCCTGAGAGCATAAGGAAGCTGAATTAATAGATACAGTCAAAATCCCACAATTACAGCTGCACCCTGGGTTAATAACTGTAGCTCTTACTGATCGTTAATTCAGTTCTTTCACGTGGCTTGATATTAACTTCACCTACTTGTGTTCAAAAATATTCCAAAATTAAACTGAAACTTGGTGATAATTATTTCTAATTGTTTGGTTTTTTTTGATTAATCTCTTACCACCAACACAATTAACCATCCTTGTATTTGATTTCACACCTATAATGTTGAAAAGTCTCAAAGTGCCTCACAACAACAACAACAACAAGATTCCATTTATAGAGCGCCTTTCATGTCGGGAGGATGTCACAGGAAATTACTAGGAAGTGCAGACATTGCATATTGCGTAGTTGTCGGGCAAATACCTCACTGAATTTGCTTACAACAAGTTTCCACAAACAACCATGAAGGGGTTTAGGATTGGTTTGGCAACATCCATCTGAACAGGCAGCAGGAACCTTGGTTTAACATCTCCAACAATAGACGCTCCTTCAGTAGAGTGTCAGCCTGGATTATAAGATAAAGTCCCAATATGTGGCTGGAACCCAGAGCCTTCCGAGCTCTCTATATAGTAAATATACAACCCGGATAGTTTACAAGAATTGAGAGAAATGAGCTGCGAATTGCTTACCCTTTACTGTGTTTGCGCGAGTGTGTGTAGTCACTCAGTTGACTATACTGAATATGTTTTTTAGTCTAAGGATTTCAATAATACGGAGAGAAGCATTTTGTTCTATCTTTACCTCCATTGTGGAAAACAATTAGCAAACCAATTGTAGGTTTTGCTATTCAAAATGTGTATGTGGAGAGAGCATTTGTAGCTGCGTCAGACTACGACTAAGTGCTGGTAGTTACATGGCTGTCACTGGTGGTGGCAGTGGTGGAAGCTGTTTGAGGTGATGAATTAGGAGCTTCAGACAATAAGTGCATCAGCCAACAATGAAGTGTATTGGCTTAAGTATAATTTTTCACATAGTGTCGATGCACTAACAAGACCTTATGACCGCATCGTTGTCATGTACAATAAATTTGTCAACAAGACTGCGCTCATCACCAGGGTCAGTGCATTTCCCACCAAGCGGAGAATAACACCCAAAGTGAGTGACGTGTTGCAGGGAGTGGGGGAAGAGAAAACAAGTGAAACTTATAATAATCTTTGTTACTATCTGTCGTTTTTTATATTAATAGCTGACATTCCAAAATATCTTTTGAGGCCCTTCAATCACAATTTGAGTGTTGTGTAATGTTCCCTTACCTCCTGTTTTACGTTGCCGAAATGTAATGTCAAAAGGAATTTGTACTGAAAAATAGTTCAACATTTTAACAAGTTAAAATGTCGCTGATGTCTGTGTAATATAATGCAGATTACTAGCAGCGATGATTTTATTCGCTATGTAATGCATTGTCAGCCATTATCCTCTTTTCAAGTAATATACAAAACATTGTTCTAACAAATTGCAGTCTATTACTTACACACTTGTGGTTTATTATGTAAGCCTGCGATTCCCGTTCTCTTATTTACTTAATGCTTTCAATTGAAAAGTGTCAAAAACTGCTGAGAGACGTGCTGCCCAGCGCGGAGCCCTGTGTCCTGTACGCTGAATAAACTCTTCACCAATGCAATCGGTGTTGGCGGCTATTGACACATACATCTCTGTCCTGCCCTACATGTGTTGACAGGTGCCAGTACCGGCACTCTGATTATTGACTAACACTTGACAGCTGATTGGAAGACAAGCTGACCTTTCCCTCCGCGTGCCGGGGAATTGAAAGTTGCCCGTCAATAACACTGCTTTAAGATTGGACAGCAACCTTGGGTGCAGACTTATTACATTGTACATTATCAGATAGTTTACAGCACAGAAGGAGGCTATTCAACCTCCCATCTGTGCTATTACTGGGTCCCTTACCTTTCTTCTTTCCCTTGTAACACTTTACTATTTTCCCTGCAAATTCTCTTTTCAAATACTGTTATGGACTTTGACCTTCAAGCACCATTTGTTGTAAAGTATTCCTTATTTCTATCAGCCTAATTCTCTTGTTGCAGACTTACTGTCAATATCGCCTGTGAAACAAAATTATGAATGCCCTTATTCGTTCCCCCGCTTTAACGTTCTCTGTTCCAGGGAGATTACCAATCCCAGGCTCTCGGGTGTCATGGCTGAGGGTGTCAGAATTGTTTCAGTGTCCCTGGGTTAACAAGGGCAAAGTCTGCCAAGGTTCCTGCTCTTGATCAACCATGTGTTCATCTAAACACTGGATGCTCCATGCAACCGTACCCCAGTGAAGTCAATTGGAATGAAAGTCCTTCAGATGTGGCAGGGGAGAAAAAAAAGATAAAATATAATTAAATGTTCAGTGGTGTTCTTTACTGAAAAGAGCGTTTCTCCCACAAAATACACAGTCTGATGCCATCATTTCCCTGACTCTGATCATGTCTCAGTCTATCTGCCATGGAGATGGGGAGCTGGCATGACCCATTAAGAAGAGAGGGAGGCCATAACTAGTTAATGAAAATGCCCTCTTGAGGTCTGAGAACAGATTTAATAGAACTAGAATAATGCAACAGTGCGTACAAATCAATTCTGATTTTGGTCATTTGTAGAATTAAAATTTAGCCGTTTGATTTTCCCCGTTATTCTGTAGTTCTGAGTTTATCTATCTGTATTCTGAGAGCATTGTAACCAGCACATTCCAGTAATCTATTTGATATATTAATACATCAGAAGCTGCTTATTGTGATCACTGGGGCTCTTCAATTTTAGAATTGTTATTTTCAGTTATTAATTCAGGCTTTATCATTTTTGGTAGATTCAAGTGATCTGCAGAAATTGCTTCATGCACACAGCTCAATATATTAAGAGAACGCAGCACACACAAATGTGTGTGTGCGTAGTTGCAAGTTGGATTTTAATCCTCACAGGCACATGAAAGGTTCAATGGCAACCAGTAATATAAAAATTGTACTCCCAACATAGTACCTATGACCAGGGGCACTTCTGCAAGTTTGTGACCAGTTGTAACAGGGACAGAGCATGTCCCTAAAAGAGCAGTTGTATGTGCTTAGCATGTTGGGCATGAAGTGCAATATTTTGGATGCACCAAACATACCTTAATTGGTGAGTGATTACATAGCAGAACACAGGACTGCAGGCACGATTCTCATCACATTCCTCTTCATTCTCGACATCTTTCACGTGAGCTTTCAGCAGCTTATGGAAGATGCCCTCAGTTCTGAAAATGACAAGTCCTTGTAGGGTGGGTATGCAATCAGTTTTTCCACAGAGTGTTCTAAATTAGGATCATTTGGCCCCTTACGATGATAGACTAATAGATATAATGTTTTGTTGCTCTTGTTGTTGTAACAGAGGGAACTGCTTATGTATTTGACCCAGTGTGCCAGGATTATGTATAAACCTATACTCACTGCCTGCAAGTTCTTTATTCAGTATAACGTATACCTCATGGATGTTTGTAGGACAATCCTGGTATAAATTGGCTGCCAAATTTGTCTACAAAAACAGTCTCTGACTAAACAGCAATTACCTATGAAGCGCTTTGAGGTATTTTCACCCCAATGGAATTTCAGCCCTCAGAATTTTCTCCTGGAAATGTTACTCATAGTTCTTCACTTCCCTAAAGCTTGGGCCTGAGTTTAAGAAGGTTTTCTGCAGTTTATATTGTACACGGTCTCATCATAGAAGCAAGCTTGATGGGCTGAAACCTTTCCACATTCTTACGCTCTTTTTCATATGTTTTTCAGCACGAGAAATGACAAGAGGAAAGTTTCTGAACATCTTGGAGCGACCCAAGAAGTAACCGTGCAGTTTTGCTGCCTTTAAAAGGAGACTGGACCATTGTTGATCAGAAACACGACTGTGGGTTACGGACCAACAGATGCCTCGCTAGCCAACCCTTCACACGCCTTTCAAAGTGCCAGTGCCACGCAGTAAAACATCACATTTAACAGGCTGTAGTGGCAAACATATTCCTCACCCTATAAGGCAACAGCTATTATATAAACAGAGACCGCAATTGACAGTTGGTTGGCATAAAAGTGAAAGTATTTGGGACGTCCCATGCAAGTCAACTGGTAATATCAGAATGTCAGGATTTCTTAGGAGCAGTGGTATTGTTAGATGGTGTGGGTCATCTGCAGGCCTTTACATTTGTACAGCTGCTGGTGCAAGTGCCTCATGGCTCCATTAACAGCCCGCCTGGCTGTGGGATGGTGATCGAACTGGCATTCAGTTCTCTTTCCTTTTGCACGTAAAAGAAGGGATGCCATTCGGAGTCGAGCTCTTCCAGCTACTAAACACTCCGTGTTACAGGGGTTTCCTGCGTTCCAGGGAATGGCCCTTGTGAAAGGTGCTGAGGTTGGGGCGCTCAACAAAACGTTAGCCACATTGACTTACAGGATTCCACAATCCCTACACTGTATACACGGTTCTCTACTCCCTTAGAATGTGCATTGCAGTGAAACTAGATACGGCTGCAACTGAAATTAGGTTCTGTAATAGCACTTCAATTGAAGTACCACAATTGAGTTTTAAGAACCTGTTCCCATTATATCTGCTGCCCTGCACAAAAGGGAGCTGATGGCTGGCTCCCTGTCAGTCAAGTGGGCAAAGGAGACACAAACCAGAATTTTACAGGCTGTTGCTAAGTTAGCTGGTCTCAGCTGGTGTAGCGTTTGGGCCACGATATTTGACCCCAACACCCCTGGGTTAGGGAGGGGTAAAAGCAGCCGAGATTCCCTCTCACCGTCACTATCCTGGAAACCTGCTGGATGTTTAGATGCCAGGTGAGGACAGGATGGGGCTCGAGCAGTGATGCCCTTATGGGTAGAGCAGCCTGACAACACTCTCTCTCTCTCTCTCTCTCTCTCTCTCTCTCTCGAGGCTCATGCACTGAATGCTCACTTGGGGGTGCACTCGTGGAATTGTGCACTGTGGAATTCTACCCCCGCTATTTGGGGAAGATCATCACGTCAAATGTGTTCAGGAGAGAGGTTGAGGAAATAATTAATGGAACTGGGAGGGGAAAAGAATCTTAAAGCGTTACAAAAAAAACAAGTTACTTTCATAAACAGACTTGTATGAAGATGAATACGCTCTTTCTATTATGTAACATTTTTGAATGAATAAACGCACATTATTTTAAAAGCATTCTCTTGTCATCCGATACCTCACATGTGCGAGCGTGCTTGTCGGCTACACTCTCACCCCCGCTCCCACTACCCTCCGACCCAATGGATTCCAACCCCCAGTTAAAGTGCAAACCCTCGACTGTCCAACGCCTTGGACCATCCTTCTGACATCAAAAATAAGTGCTGTATAAATGTAAATTTATACAGTTCCTAGACAGGAGTCCTGTAGCTCAGTGGTTAGAGCACTCGCTTTGCAAGCGAGAGACCTGAGATCAATCCCCGGGGGGTCAGGGCGAAACCTTGGGCAAGTTTCCTTACTCCACACAGAGCCTAATAATAATCCCTCCAAAACCAAAAACAATAATAAATTGGTCATTTTCAATCCACGACTGTTTGTGGGACATTGCTGTGCGCAATTGGCTGCCGCGTTCACCCACAAATATACAGTCAATTCACTTTACAGTGTGTTCTGTGAAGCGCTTTGGGACGTCCTCCCGACGTGAAAAGCGCTATATCAAATGCAAGGATTATTATTATTATTATTAAATTTGTGGTTGTATGTCTTCAAGCCCTCCACGACATTGCCGCTTCCTACCTCCGTGATTCGCTAACCCCTTATCAACCTGTCCGCTCAGCAGTCTCCGGCCTGCTCCAAGTCCCCAGCCCGCCCCACTGTCGGCAGTCAGGCCTTCAGCCTCTCTGCTCCCACCCTTTAGAACCCCATCCCACATTCCCTTCGCTCGCTCGCTTGCTCCCTTGCCTCCTTCAAGGCACGTCCCAAGACCCTCCTCTTCGATGGTGCATTCGGCCACCCTCCCTGCCCTCCACCCTCCCTCACCCCAACCTTCTCTGCCCAGGTTCAAATCCCCGACTCCAGCACCTTGGAACGTCCTCCCGATGAGAGAGGCACTGCACAAATGTAATTTTGTATTGTACTGTAACCAGGACCAGAAAATCCCAGTCCATTGCTGGTCTCAGGCAGCAGTGCATCAGTCTACGCTCCCCTGGGGATAGGGGAAATCTGTGACCATTCCTTTTGTTCACTATCCAGTCAACCCTGTTGGAAAGTGTCTGCGCATCTAGGATGAGGGTCTGATCAGGATGACACCTGCACGGTTGGATGTCTTTTGCCAGTGTTTGCTGTCCCAAAACTACCCTCTGTGAAGGGCGTATATATAGATGCAAGTTGTTGTTGTTGTTCAGGCACACACCCATTGACCTGGGCAAGGTTTTAAAAAAAAGGTTTGTTTTAAAAGAAAAAATTATATTCAACTTCAATCTTCTTAATTATAAATATTAGGAACTCGTAAATACACAGCACACATTAAAATTCTGGATATATTTGAATAATAATCCTTAAATTTGATACAGCGCCTCATCACGTTGTTAAGACGTCTCAAAGCATCACAGAATATACTGTAAAGTGAGTTGACTGCATTTTTCGGGTGAAACCTAGAGTTTGAGGTGCTAATCAATGCTCAAAGCAAAATGCAATACAAATTTCATTTGTACAGCGCTTTTCACATCAGGAGGATGTCCCAAGGCACTGAACAGTCAGGGATTTGGACCCGAGCTGGGGAGGGTATGAGGGTGGTCGAAGAGGAGGGTTTTGATACGTGCCTTGAAAGAGGCAAGAAAGTGGACGAGGTGAAGGGAATATGGGATGGAGTTCCATAGGGTGGAGGCAGAAAGGCTGACGGCCCGGCCACCGATGGTGGAGCAGGCCGGGCAGGGGACGTGGAGTAGGCCTGAGTGGAGGGAGTGGACAGGTTGATATGGGGTCAGCAGGTTGCAGAGGTAGGAAGAGGCAAGGCTGTGGAGGACCTAGAAGGAGAGGACGAGATTTTTGGACTCTATCCTCTGGGGAATAGGGAGCCAGTGGAGTTGGACGAGATTGTGGGTGATGGGGTCATGGAGCCTGGTGCAGGAGAGGACACAAGCTGCAGAGTTCTGGATGATCTGCAGCTTGTACAGGGAAGAGTTGGGAACGCCGACAAGCAGGGAGTTGGCGTAGTTGAGCCTTGAGGTGACAAATGCATGGATGAGGGTTTCGGTGGCCTGAGGAGTGAGGCAGTGAGGGAGCCGGGTGATGTTGTGGAGGTGGGGGAAGGCAGAGCGGTGATGGAGAGATGTGGAGCAGAAAGGACTGTTGAGGGTCAAACAAGATTCATGACTGGCTCAGTAAGGTGGAGTGTGCATCCTTGGATGGTGATGCTGTCAGCGCCTGAGGTGTGGAGGCGCTGTCGGGAGCCAATTAATAGGTCTGTTCAACTGTAGAAAGTTAGCTCTCATCCAGGGCTTGATGTCTGATAGACAATCTGTCAGGACCGCAGTGGTTCTGGAGTCGAGGGTGGAGGCAGAGAGAGAGTTGGGTGTCATCTGTGTACATGTGCAGAATGATGCAGAATATGACAAATGTCTCCTGACACAATATAAATTCTTGTTTCAATACTCTTAACGGTATAGGTGGAGCTTTCCAGCCAATGTGGTTAAGCGACTGGTCGTCCAATAACTTTAAAGAGACTATCGCTGGTCTTTATGGTGGAAATAAATTTACTGTGGATTTGGTGTTCTCCCGAGAGTAATTCTTACTTAATACAAAGGATTAGAAGGTGAAAGGTTTGACAATTTATCAAGAAGACTTGATCAACGACTGATCTTTGCTGTATTCAGATGGAATTAATCTCTCATAAAACTCAATGGGGTACTCGTTTCTCTCTGCTTCTCTCACCCTGGCCTCGGTCGTTCCTCTCCTACCCATAGCCTTAACCCATATTACATGGGTTATACTGTGTCAGTCTGGCTCAGTGGTAGCATTCTCGCTTTGAGTCAGAAGGTTGTGGGTCCAAGCCCCATATCAGGGCTTGAAATCACATTAACTGACACTCCAGTGCAGTGCTGGGGGGGTGTTGCATTGTCCGAGGTGCCATCCTTTGGATGAGGCATTAAACCAACGTCCCGTCTACCTGTTGAGGTGAACGTTAAAGATTCCATCACACCATTTGAAAAGAGAAGGGAGTTTCTGTTGAATGTACTGATTGTGCATTTGTAGCCAAACGTGGCAACCAATTTGCAGGTAGAAGGGTGACTAACTGAAGTTTTCTGGAGGAATGTTGCCCAGGACACTAGACAAAACTTCCTTTGTGTTTCAAATATTGGCTTGGGATCCACGTGAAGATCAGGCGGATAGGACCTCCAGCAAAACAGTGGCTCATCCAGTACTGCTCTGCAGTGCGAGCCTGGAGCATGAGCACAAGTCCCACAGCTGGGCTTGAACCTTCAACAACTTGGATTTACGCGGGTAGCGACTTGGAGCACTTAACAGTGGCGGAGTTTGACATCGAACTCGGGAGAGAAGGGAAGGGTAATAATTAAAAGAAAACTTGCATTTGATATAGCGCCTTTTCACGTTGTTGAGCATTTCACAGACAACATTGTAAAGTAGATTGACTTTATTTTGTGGGTGAAACGTGGTAGCCAATTGCGCACAGCAGTGTCCCACAAACAGTCAAGGAATGAATAGCCGATTTTTTTTTGGACGGGGGGAGGAATTATTAACCCCGGAAAGCGATCTGCCAATCAACTAACAATCGAGTTCCCACTTACTGCTGGATAAACAGAGTCTTCTGGAGCAAGGAAACTTGCCTAAGGTTTCTCCCCACCTGGGAATCAAACCAGGGTCCTCTTGCTTGCGAGGTGAGTGCGCTAACCTCTAAGATACGGGACTCCACTTAGCGTAAGAGGGGAAGAGGAATCCCCATCGCAAAAATACCGTAAATTGTGTTGAGGAAGCTGAGATTTCTGCCCGAAACATTTTTTTAAAACAATGTTCTGCATGTAACATACATGGCCCAGGAATGTCATAATGACTCTTAGTTAAAGTCCAGGATAACCCGCTTGCATTTGCGCTGCGCGCTCCTTCCAATCCTGAAATACCAGATCGGGATTACGCTGTCTGTTGAGAATTATCCGATCTTTAATCTGGAGTGGAAATCACATCCAGGCTTCTAAAGCGCCAGCTGTAATCATTTTTGCAGTTAGCGACTTACCAACCCGAATTGTAAAGGTTAACCCTTTCCTAGGCACGTTCCAATGTATAGGTCAAAAGGATGTGTAGCCTGGGTCCAGTTCGCAAGCAGTAGGACCTGGGTTCGATTCCCGGACAGGGTGAAATGTTAGGCATCTTTCCTTACTCCACACTCCTCTGCTTATCTAACAGTAAGTAGGAACCCGATTGTTAGTCGATTGGCGGATCGCTTTTCCGGGGGTAATAATTCCTTCAAAAAAATAATTTAAAAAGAATAATTATTTGGTTACTCAATCCACGACTGTTAGTGGGACAATTGGCTCCGCGTTTCGCCCACAAAGTATACAGTCAATTCACTGTAGAGTATGTTTTGTCAAGCGCTTTGAGATGTCTGGAAGTTATGGGAAGGCGCTATATCAAATGCAAGGATTATTATTATTATTTTTATTATTATTATAATATCTCCAAAGAAGACCGACATAAGGAGCTGCTCACCAATAGATGTGGAGCAGGTTTGTATGAAGAATGGCAATTAGCATAGTAACAGCATGTGAGCCCCATTCAGGAACCTGCTTTTATTTGACGCACTTGTTCAAATCACCAAAGTAAGTAACTAACTATGACATGCACTGAGCTTCCCTCTCTACAGGCCATTTCTTCTTTAATGAGATTTTAAAACGCGGGGCCCTTACACGAAAGTTGCATGAAAAATAATATTCGGCATTGTTGCCCTTCTAACAAGAGCTGACATAATTACTGCGGCCGTTTCTCCTTTAATTACCACACTTCCAGTGTCGATGCAGCGAGCAGGCCTGGTAAAAGCGATCGGACAAGCATGCCAAAGGAGAACAAACACAGGGACCTTTCAGGGTAATTGGACAAGACAATGGCTGACTCTATTTGCAGCCGGAGTTGTCGTGGAAACTCGTTGGCAACTCTTGCCACCGCGAGTTGCACATCGCATCAGGCCCTCTAATAAGCCCTAATTGCTG